TACTCGATAAATGGCGATGCAGGCGAGGCTGCAACGACGACGCTCGCATTCGATAATCGATTGAACATTTGTTCGGCAGACTGGAAGTGCCCGATACTCGGAGGAGAGGCAAAAGTGGTGCGCGAACGAGCGAACGTCGTTTCCTCGTCACGGAAGCGGAAAGTGGCACCGATTTGTACGGACCGACAAGTACATCGTCTTCGCGACGAACGAGACAGAAATCGAGCGTCTCTCGCTAAGCATCTTCGCCTTGAAGGGGACTTTCCCCGCGACTTGGCCCATTCCTCCCTCCCCACGCGCGCCGAGATTAACGTTTTACATCCTTAAACGCGGGACGCTTTGTGCAAAGTGGAGCCGCGATTTCATAAATATTGATTACTGCATTATCGCGCCGCGCAAATAATATGTATATACGCTTTTGCGTGCGCAGTAAAGCGTTAATTTTCTGCCGGGGATAACGTAGCGATGCTATGAATGTCTGGCTTATATAATCTAAGACACGTTACTTTCCTTTATGTAAATACATATTAAAGTGATTACTTTAGATACCACAACCCCCTAAAAAGTTTTACTCGCCTCAGATGTAATACATTGTTTTAGAAAAAAATTCATCGCAGTCATTACGTATATAAAAAAGTATTACCAGCGTGAGATCGAATAAGAAATAATCTTGTCTCAATACGTCATATTCTTGTTTTAATAAAACACGTATTCCGTTTAATTAGAATTCTTGTTACTTAATTAATAAATGGAGAGAATTTTCTAGTAAAATTTACCGTGAAAATCATGTAATCGTAGGTCAGCATGGCATGTTGAAGAAATTTATGAGAGTTTTTCCAAATTTTACCATACCTTTTATTAGTAATTATACTTAGTACACATTTTACTGGAAAAATGTATGGGAAAATTTCAAAAAACTCTCATAAAGTTCTTCAAAAACCATGTTGTCTTACGATTATGATTTTCGAGGCAAATTTCAAGAGAAGATTCTCTCCGTAAGATTATTTCCAATTAACTCTACTGTTGATACAATATTACTTTCTTGCAGTGTAGTGATCTTTACATTAGAGAGACACAATAATTAATAAAGGCAATAGAATCGTAATAAAACACGTATTCCGTTTATTCAGAATTTTTGTTACCGAATTAATACGCGGAGAGAATTTTCCCTTAAAATTTGCCCTGAATGGCCAGCATGGCATTTTGAAGAACTTTATGAGAGTTTTTCCAAATTTTACCATACCCTTTGCTAGTAATTATATTTAGTACACATTTTACTGGTAAAATGTATGGGAAAATTTCAAAAAACTCTCATAAAGTTCTTCAAAAACCATGTTGTCTTACGATTATGATTTTCGGGGCAAATTTCAAGAGAAGATTCTCTCCGTAAGATTATTTCCAATTAACTCTACTGTTGATACAATATTACTTTCTTGCAGTGTAGTGATCTTTACATTAGAGAGACACAATAATTAATAAAAGGCAATAGAATCGTAATAAAACACGTATTCCGTTTATTCAGAATTTTTGTTACCGAATTAATACGCGGAGAGAATTTTCCCTTAAAATTTGCCCTGAATGGCCAGCATGGCATTTTGAAGAACTTTATGAGAGTTTTTCCAAATTTTATTATACATTTTACTAGTAATTATATTTAGTACACATTTTACTGGAAAAATGTATGGGAAAATTTAAAAAAACTCATAAAGTTCTTCAAAAATGTTGTCTTACGATTACATGATTTTCGGGGTAAATTTTAAGAGAAGATTCTCTCCGTAAGACTATTTCCAATTAACTCTACTGTTGATACAATATTACTTTCTTGCAGTGTAGTAATCTTTACATTCGAGAGACACAATAATTAACAATAGCCAATAAAATCGTTGCACATTTTTTAAATCACCGCACTGTTTTTGGAATCGCAAATGACTCTATTCCACAGCGAATCTAGCTGTGTGTCTACGTTCTCCGTGCGCTTTCGAATCTCTGTCAAATATGCAGCTCGACTTAGCTCTAGAATGAACAAGCGAACGCTAGGGAGCAGCAGATTCTTATCTCCGCGCGGATATATGATACATCACGAATCTCATGCAATGAGCATGCCGCGATGCCATAATATCATAATAAATCTTGTCCCACTTTCCTTAGATAGAAAATCCTACCGGTTTTACGAAAGGAATTGTGGCGACGACGCCGATTTCTGTAATTTCCGCCGTAAGCGCGCATTTCTTGCACGTAGGTGCGCATAAATAAAATCCGGTCATATTCCCATGTTCGACTGATTTAATCCCACGCGGATATCCCATCTTATTCATTTCGAAATGTTTTCACTCGGGAACGATTAGCGAATCGTGCGTGAAAATACGTTCGTCCAGCGACTGCTCGCGACACGTCTATTTACGATTATTGGACGACTGTTGCTTGTCGAGCGGAGAAATAATACCGAAAATTGACGGGTTAGCCTGTAATAATCGCTCGTGCGCGAGTATTCATTAATTATTACCAATTACTATTAAGGCAAATAATACGGTCGATACGTTTTGTATAATTTGCGTGGCTCTCATACGTGATTTAAAACGAAACCGGTTTTGCAGCTGTGGATTAGCAAACGGACGTGCTCTAGATAGAAACTTTTAGGACTCCGATAAGAGGCCGTTCTCATGCCTCAAAGACTCTGAGAACCTGTTGCATTTTTTGATACGTAAAATACAAGATTAGGAACGTATATATAGCTGTCTAATACAGGGACTATTTTTAGACAGGCGCGCGGCGATTACGGTCGTTTTAATGACAAATCGCTGTAACTTTCATCGCGGACAATGTTACGCCTGCCTCCATCTCGCTTTGAGCCGTTAGCTGTTAATATTCACGCTCTTCTCATTAATGCGCGACTGGACGTAAATGTACTTTCGTTACACATTACAAGACACAGTTTCTCCGTCCGCAAAGATCGGGTGAGAGTCTTACGTACAGTCGAACGTAAATGTGCTCGAATATCCCGCGCGCGCTCGAACGGTCGCAGGAAACTTTCGTAATTACTAATACACGAACGCGGATAATGGGCGCCCGATGGTAATTATCGTCGTCGTGCGAGCGTCGTGCACCGCAGATTTCGTCGCGGATAAGAACGCCGACCGTCGTGTTTATCATTTTATTGGCAAATTTCATTCCGGGACGAGGTCTCCTTGGGCAACGAAAGGTCCCCGGTGCAACTTGGATACATTTACGCTCTATGCCGAGTTAATCTCGCATCGTAAAACTAATTAATGCGTTCTGCTGCAATAAAAATTTCCTGTAATAGACAAGTATTTAGTCGAAAGTGCACTAAATATACTCACCTTTAAATATCAACAGTTATTTGTTACAGTTTATCTTACGATGCCGTTTTATCGGGACACGCGTCTTCTACAGAATAAAACTGCGTGTCCTTAAACTGTTTAAATATACATGCAATCATTGCATGGTCTATCTTCAAAGTATTTCCCAGCACGTGCTGTTTTTCATTTCCCCAATCGATTCGCTTGTCGATCTGTCGGCAGATGAGAGCTAGAGATATGCATAAAAATTTGTGGTAAGACAAACGCGGACAATTAGACAATGATTTTCTTTTATTCCTCTAGATCATGTAATATTTACACGCTCTGCTTATACAAAAAGGACTTATAAAAATCATCTAAGATCGACCATATACTCATGCGAAAGTTACGTAAGGGCGGGCTAATTAACCGGAATGTTTTTTTTCCGGCCACGGATCAATGAAGCTGCGGACTCGCGCATTTTTCGCCACCGGGCGCGATTAAAACCGGGCGCGTGCGGAACAGATTGCCGCCGAGAGGCCGGGCATTTAAATGCGCCAACGTGTCTTTCGCGTTTAAAGAACCATGACCGAATTGCACGGAAACGAAAGCGACGGCGGCACCCCGGCCATTGATTCGCGGCCTCATACCACTTCCTTGCACTCTCTCTCTCTTTCTCTCTCTATCACATTTACATATAAATATATTACTTATATTAAGCCGCCGCACGACGCGGGGCGTTAACAATTTGAACACGAAACAGGCAGATCGTAAAGGCTGCTCGCCCGAAAACGGCTAGCCGCGCTTAATTAAATCGCCATCGCGTTGGCAATAAATAATGTAGCAGTCGGCACGAAACGTATACCGCTGCCTCTTAATCATTTTCGGTGGATCCAGCGGCGCGCGCGCGACGGACTCACCTCTATTTACCCGGTCTTGTTTCATAAGCGGATATATCTCTCGACTGCGAAGGCGCGGAGCGCGGATCGCTATTCAGTCCCGCTAGCTTTGTTCTAGGATCGCGCTGTCAGGAGGGCACCGGTGCTTTCTGGCTGCTACTAATTATGCACGCCTCGGCGTTACCGCCGCGCGGAGGCGCGAATACCCGTAGTGATGCGCACCATAAAATACGACCTGTACACTGAGAAAAATGTCCGATTGAATATAATCGGATAATCCAATTACATGATAACAAACGGATATATCCGATTAAATTGTATATCCGATGAAAAATTTGATCGGTTCAATCAAATTTCATCGGTAATTGCATTTCATCGGATAAATTTCATCGGATATATCCATAATTTAATCGGAAAACGTAATCGGAAAAATTAACCGTCGGACATACTATTTAATTGGTTTATCCGATGAAAATTTTTCTCAGTGTACCTTTGTAGGCGTCGTTTATTGCGGACGGTTCTCGTTGCTCGTGTTACCGTGTTCGGGTATCGGGTCTAATTGTAAGTGACGCAATATCAATTTCGATATGGCCGGTACTTAGCACTATCGGTCTAGCTGGCATTCCCAATGGTGCATCTAGGGTGATAAGCCTCCCTTGCTCGAGGGAGATAAGGAAATCACGGATCTCAGTTTATACCGCGCTATACCCCGTCGAACTTTCATCCCAAAATAATTTCGCGTACTAACGCCTTGTGGGGTGGGGTGGGGAACTTGATGTTTTTAGAAAAAAAAATCTCGTAATCGTGTGATCGCACGTATTTCTCTATTTGCACATCGCGTTAATAGCTCTGGTCCTGCGAACTTTGCGCAACCTGACAAAGTTCACGGGAAGTAGGCGTACTCCCACGCCGCCAATCGCGGAGGAGAGGCTATTGTTCAGTGAAAAGGGAGAAGAAAGGAACTGCTTTAGGCACCGTCCTTCCTTCAATGGACACGCGCTGCCACGTGACGCTGATCTACTTAATCTACCGCAATGTCCAGTTGGAGTCTGCGAGCCGTGACGTCCGAAACCTTGACCACCATTTTTCTCTTCGCGCTGCCATCTTCTCGTGCAGCCCCTCGATTACCGGGTGTTTAGTAGTAGAAGTAGGTGATGTAACCTGCAACAAAATACAGACTCGTACTCATTTTCTGAAAGGTTGAACGGAAGGGTTAACCGTTCTCTGGGGAAAAAAGAGACAGCAACCCATTTTGGGGCCCACAACTAGTGATCGAATTATTTGGATTGCTCGTAACTCTACTCTAGGAAAAATGTTGTCCGTTTTTCGTAAAAGATTAGAGTTACAAACAATCGAAATAATTGGATTACCAATCGTGGGCCCCAAAATGGGTTGCTAACCGTCTTATCTCTCCCAGAGTTGCAAGCTGTTTCGACGACGGATCGTTTGGCAAAGGCTCGAATTGCTTTTTTCTTTATACATTTTTCGTTTTTTCGCGAACACACCTCGAGGCCGAAGGTTAAAGGGCTCGTAAATCACGCTACGAATTTATAATAACGGTTATTCCGGCCCATTCATCCTTGTCGCGATCGCGGAAGCGCGGGTGGACGAAGCATGGAAAATTAATTCCCACATTTCTAGCCGCCTACACTTCCGCGACGCTCACGCCGGCAGATTCTCCATCATCATCGGCAGCCGCGATAAAAATCGCTTTCCCGATTTCCCAACCGAATTCTGATCTCTCTCCTTCTCTCTTCCGCGTTTCCCCTGCCCTCATCCTCCCGACGCCCACTCTCTAAAGTTTTTCGAGTGAAAATAGAAGCACGGAGTGAAACGTTCGCTCTATTGGAGGAAATCTTGACTCTACTAGAATGAACATTTACTCCGATAGAGCGAATATTTCACTCCATGGTTCTAATTTCACTCGAAAAACTTTAGAGAGCACCATTCGACGACGATCTCTGCGGATCCTCGGACTCATCAGGGCGAGGCCCGTTCAACGGTCCGTGTGATTTCCATCTGCGATTCTACTGTCGAAAGTATCCCTCGGAGCGCCAACACTCGGGACACCTGAACGTCGCTAATGAGTAGCGAGGGTGATACCACTTCAAAGCTGCTAATTACAGGACCCTCGTCACCTTGTCCCGTCCGTCGGAGGCGGGCAGAATTGACCTCATCCCCCTCGTCTTCTACCCTTTGATTAGTAAGTGCTCGCTTTTCCGCTCCCCTAGTGCTCTGTCGTTTCGCCCTCGCTTTCGCGCGCAGCGCACGTGTGCTCCGCCGAGATCGTCCGCAGCGTCGATAATAAAGTCGACCGCGAAACGAACGGGGGATCCGAATGGAAGCCATTAGGGAACCGAAAGGATTCCGCCCCCGTTCCGATTATAATCGATTTAAATGTGAGAACGCCCTAACGACGAACGGCAGCGTTCAGAAATAATTGTCGGTAGGTGACGGCCGAGTTCGACTTGAAAACGATTCGGGCGGCCGGGGGTGTGTCTTTGCGATCACATCGTGTCGCCAATGCTTAGGCCGGTGCTACGTTGATCGTATCGTAGCGTCGCGAATCTTAAATTCGACCAATCAGCGTTGAATTAGAACCAATCTACGAGCCTTGCGACACCACGATACGACCAATGTAGAACCGGCCTTAGAGACAGTTGACGTTTACGTACGTTAAACGTTTAGACATGCGATTTGTAAGCTTTGCACTTTAAAAGAGAGCAGCGTTGCCGTAATCATATCGACACTACCTGCGGCTGGTTAGTGAAATGTACCGGAACACTTTATACCGAGTCATTAAAAACTTCTTTCGGGCGTTCCCGCGCGCGGACGTCTTCTCGTCCAAATTAATGTCCCGTAAAGAAAAAGGTATTTAACGGAGATATCGTTAAGTTACGAGAGTTCGTTTCCACGGGGAATACCGACGGCGAGTCTCGGGGAAAATTCGTTTCTCGCACCCTCCTCCTTTCAACCCCAGATAAATTTCCGTCAGGGACGTCCGGAGGGGTCAACAGTTTTTGCGTGTTGCGTAATTAAATGCGGATCGTCGGGTTTAATGACTATCGAGGGGAACGAATGGCCGTTTGGCCCGGAACGGCGTGCCGTTGCGATTCTTCAGCCGGCATCGGAATTCACGACGGCTTGTTATCGCGCACGAGATACGATCGTTCGTAATTGGCAAATTGCAGATGAAGATACTCGCGCACTTTTTATCGCGAGCTCTTATCTCTCTCGCGAGATTTCGAAATGAAGGCTATTGCAGAAGTATTTAGCCGACGGAAGTCACGCGCTCTCGCGAATTGCAGCAATCTCGCTTCCTCGGCCTCGCCAATCCCCGCGGTCAGCGCGGTGACACGCTTAGGGCATAGTATAACTAGTATTGGGATTTGCGGTTGTGACGTCACCAAGGTAGGATGGCCGACGAGAGTAGGTCACTTTCGTTTATAATACGATGTGCACATATTTCTAAGATTGAAGATTATTTAAGTAATTAAAATGAGGCTCCCCATAGGTGAAATATGTAATTCTACAAATTCGACACCTTCGTGCCGCAATTTTGTTGAAGGTGAAAAACTTTTAGGAAAAAGTGCAAATCACGTAACATTTTGCGGCATAAAAATGTTATGTAGGAAAATGAAACGATTGTCACATAAATCTGTTAAATTCGGTTTATTTACGCACTTCCCCACATTATATAGAAGTCTATGGACTTCCCATAAATGTTACGACAGCGACTTAGGGCCCGAGCAGAAAGATTGTCGCAAGTGTTTACGATTCCGTAGTAAGACGCAAGTCTATGTCGGAAGTCGGCGCACAAAGGATTGTCGTAGACGATATGTCGCATTTATCGCGTCGCAAGGCGACAATTCTTTGTGCGTTGACTTCCGACTTAAGTCTTACGACAGAATCGGTTACAACAATCTTTCTGTTCAGGTCCCTAATCTTTTGGATTCTGATTGTCGCCACTAGATAGCGTGTCACAGCTCAGCCAATCCCAATACTCACTCTGTCATTTGTTTCGCTTCGCGTCGATCTCTTCTGCGCATCCGACATTGTTCTGGGCAGACCAATGAGAGAAAAGTCGTACGTGTGGTAGCGTAGCTTTGATACACTGCCACATGTACACCTACAGTACGTACGCATACGCCGCTGGATTGCTGCCTAAAATAATGGCGGAATACCACGTGATCGGGACCGAAAAGATCAAAGGGCCGACAATTCTTTGTGCGTTGACTTCCGACACGGACTTAAGTCTTACGACAGAATCGGAAACGGTTACGACCATGGTGTAAAGATATAAGGTGAAACATTGCGCATGTAACCAATTTTTGGGGCAAATTGTTCATTGGTTTCTTTCTGCATTTAACCGCAATGATTTGCAGTTTGAAGGTTGAAGCAAATTTCTGATTGGTCAATTCGGTAGTTTGAACCACTTTTGATTGGTTGACACTGCGCATCCACCAAATTGCTTCACCTTGTATCTTTACACCACGGACACGACAATCTTTCTGCTCGGGCCTCTACTCTTCTGGGTTCTGATTTTCGCCTCTAGATAGCGCGTCACAGTTCAGCCAATCCCAACTCACTCTGTCATTTGTTTCGCTTCGCGTCGATCTCTTCTGTGTATCCGACATTGTTCTGGGCAGACCAATAAGAGATAAGTCGTACGTGTGGTAGCGTAGCTTTGATAACACTACCACGTGTACACTCAAAAAAAGAATTGGCTGCTGTAGCCTAGAACTGGCTGCGTCAGTCAATTTAAATAGTCAAATATGACATAGCATTTCAGTTGGTTGCAGCAGCCAATTTTTAAAGCTGTTATAAACTTGGCTGGAGTTAATACATAACTTTGCTGCTCCAACCAACTGCCTACTTTACAGCGGTTTGTAAATTGGCTACTCCAACCAAAAATTCCCGTACGATAGGCTATTAGTTGGTTGTTCTAGTCAACTGACTCCTGCCCGAGCAGAAATTTTAGTAGGGTTCTGATAGGGTCCTAATAAAGATGCCTTAATGCATTAAATTGTGTTAAATTACAGTTATCAAAAGTATATTCAGGTTATTAAGGTTTATCCATGATCCAGACAATTCGCTCTCCCATCATATCGGCTCGCCTTTTATACTAATACGGGACAATTTTTACTTACGAGAAAGACTAACGCGCGGTCGCCACGTCGCGGCAGTATGTGGTACTAGTGCTATCTTGCACGACAAATTTGAGTTGACTAGCCCGGCCAACTGTCTTATCAACCTACTTGGTAACGCTACCACAGCTAAGAAATTGCCTAATGCAGCCAATTACTTACTAGCTTTAAAAGTTGGTTGTATTGGTCTATCTGAAATCATAGATTCACATTGCAATTTACTGCTTCAAAAATTAAATGGTTGCAGCAGAAAACTTTTATACAGCCAATAAAAATTGGCTATTGCAGTAATTCTTTTTTTTTGAGTGTACAACTACAGTACGTACGCATACGTCGCTGGATTGCTGCCCAAAATAATGGCGGAATACCACGTGATTGGGACCGAAAAGATCAAAGGACAGAGAGTGAACATACCAGTTATGCTTCGGGCGGCACGACGCTTTCATTTCCCGCCAGGGAATTAAATTGTACTTTGCACCACCTATTATCCGCGCTAACGCTCGCCGCGGTTAATCCTCAGAACTGTCCCGATGAAGCCGCACGCTCCTCCGAGCTACAACCTCGGGGTCTTCTTTTCGGGCTTAACGCACTCTCTTCGTCCTCCATGACGTTAATCACGGCACGGTTGCTGGAGATTTACGTTTTCTCTCCCGAGTTAACGCGCGCATTAACGCGTGCAAAACGTCATAAAGCGCGAGATGTACATCGCGGGTCCCCCCGCTCCCCGCCCCCCCCCGATATCCGCGTGCTTCACGGGGAGAATTTATTCGCCCGCCATTCACTTCTTTTGCGTCGTACGCGAGTTTTAATACCGTTATCGGTGCCTTTCTTCTCTTCCCCGCTATCGTTTATAGAGTTACATAAAATGTTATACGCGCAGCGTTGCGCGATATTCCGTTTGCATTTTTCATTTCAATCGCGCGTTTTCTTAATTGGGCCGGCCGCAACAAATATCTGAAACAAAGGACGTGCGCTCGGCGCCGGTTTCTTTGTTCCCCGTCGAAATCAATCCGACCGATCTTCATTATTTGCCAACAGTAATGCACGGCGGTTTTATGGGAACGCGACTTCATTGCGTCGGGCTGATATTATTGCGTCAACACGCGTTCGTACGCGATTACGCGTTCCCTCCCTCCCTCCCCGCCGCTTTTCATACGAAATTTCACAGACGCGCGAAATTACGCAACCGAAAGTCCCCGGCTCCTTCCGTCGATCGCAAGTTCGACGACACTTGACATTCTTGGGTAGCATTGATCTTCCGAGAGGCAGCCGGTAGCGAGGTAAAATCGCGATCCCCGCCGTCGTCCTCCGCGAGAAAGATATCGCAACACCTGCCGTTCGTCGCGAAGAGAAACGAAATTTTACGATCATACTCTCATAACACCCGAATTCGGCTCGTCCAATCGTCCTGTCACTCTCCAATAAGTATTCCTCGACGCGGAATTCTCCAATCGTGTGGCACGAACGTCTTACGTAATTCCTCTCATCGCCGAGAAATAGGTAGACACTTGATTTTTATGCGCGCCACGTACCTCGATGACTTTCGCCCGTATTCGAGAGGAAATTTCGGCCGGAGCGCGTAACTGAGGAACGCGTGCATCTCATTTGACGTGAGCGCCACGCTTTTTCGTACGACCGAGAATGAGAAGGAACGCGCGGCTGAGAAGCGGGACGAAAGAACCGATCGAACTTGACCGTGCGTGACCGGTTCTGGTCAGAGGCCAGGGATCGGGAGAGCGTTGATCCTCGCTTCTCCGTCTCCGTCTGTCTCCCCGTGCTCGCATCGCTGGCTGACCAAAAAGGCAACCTTGTCGCCTTGTCGCGACCTCGTAACACCTGTTACGCGCAATGGAGTAACTTAAGTAAGGTTACGCGTAAAACGAGTTTGCGAGCCGCCACGAGGCCGCGCAGCCTCGTCGAAATCGCTTTCACCGAACCGTCGCGTCGCGTCGTGTCCGCGGACTCGCCGCGTGCTCGCCGGGTGCCAAGGCTGAAGATTCCCCACGCGGGGGAAACCGGTATACAGCTGCGTTTCGCGGAAGGAGGAAGTACAAAGGCTCCAGCTCCTCGGTTAGCGATCTTCCCTTCTCTCGCGCGCGCGAGCGCGCTCACTCTATCTCTTTTTCTCATTACGTCTCGTTGTGCCGACTGATGAGTCTACGGCCAAGCGCAGGTGCGAAGGACGGCGCGTGAAATGAAAGCCGAGCGTGCCGCTCAAATTACCGGAAGAGACACGCTGCCCCCCGCGCATTACGTCGCGGAAATCGAGGGGATCCGATTACGCAAGGAAACCCGTTCCGCGCTTCTACGCTATACGTTTCGTTCGGGCCTACGGACAGATTTGCAGGACCCGACCTCGCTTTCCGGCTCTCGCTCTCGTGCAAATGGGCGACCGGTAGGTGGCTCGCTGGGTATCGCTGACAAGGTTAATAAGATAACGGCGAAAGTCTGTATCATATATCGAAAAGAAAACGATTCGTGCTCACCACCGTGTAATTACAAAAAGGAGGGGGAACGTTTGTGGAACGTTTACCCGCAACATTTCGCGGGGACCAGTTATGGCGATACCACGCCCCACGCTCTCTAGAAGTCAATCAGTGGATTATCACTGAAAACAGTGAATAATCACTGCTTCACTAAGTATAGCACTGAATAATTAATAGTAATAGATACACGGAGAGACCGATATGGTTGCCACATGTCTGATTAGGGTTGACACAACCCCGATAAATAGTGATATTTGAGCGCGCCACTTCTTCATTTTCGGCGAGAAAAATAATGGGCTAGGAACTAGATCAGGATTTGTACCTGGGACCTTTCGCTTGCCGGACGAATGCTCTTCCAACTGAGCTATATCTGTGATTGTCATACCCCTGAGTAGAGGAGACAACCACGTGCGCCTCGTGCAGCAAACTCGGTGAACGTTGCAACACAAAACAACGTGGATGCTCGCACTATTTATACGGCAACATTTTAATTTTAGTTATTTTTGCCCTAGCCGGTCTTTTCGTGTAGGGGTGTACCTTCGGGGAGGGAGGTAGGCACTAAGGCGCGCTACTAATTAATTTTCAACGCGAAAAATAACGGGCTAGGACTAGACCAGGATTCGAACCTGGGCACCGTCCGCTTGCCGGACGAATGCTCTTCCAACTGAGCTATATCTGTGGTTGGCATACCCATAAGTAGTGGAAACAACCATATGCTCCTTGTGCAGCAAACTTAGGGCCTGAGCAAAATGGCTGTCTTATACTCTTAAGACAATGTTTTACGTTTTAAGCCTTTGTCCCATTCTGCTCAGGCCCTTAGTGTACGTTGTAACACAAAACAATGTAGATGTCCCCACTATTTATACGGCAACATTTTTATTATTTTTGCCCTGGCCGGTCTTTCCGTGTAGGGGTGGTATATCTTCGGGGAGGTAGACACTAAGGCGCGCCACTTATTAATTTTTGGCGAGAAAAATTACGGGCTAGGACTAGACCAGGATTCGAACCTGGCACCTTCCGCGTGCCGGGCGAATGCTCTTCCAACTGAGCTATTCAGGCCCACGATCAAAGTCCTTCTCGCTTACCTACTTTATTTCATTGAATGAAGTATATACTGAATTATTCAGTGCCATGCTTATAACTGTCTTCAGTGATAACGCGCCGACTTTTAGAGAGCGGTTATTAAATATATTATATATTTATTATGGCTACCTACATCTTGCTCGGACCTAAGCTTTGGCGTTCTCGTTTCTTATTAAATATATATTACTACTTTCTATAAACTTACCTTGCGTAGCGTGGGAGATTACGATATCTATCTGCTAGTGCATTCCTGTCACCAGACATGCTGCGGTGCACGTTACTTAGCGGCTAAAGGACCCGCGTACCACGTATTAGTATCGCGTCTCGCCGTCGCGGCCCGCGAGCCCCGAATTCATCCTCCAATTCGGGGGAAAGTCGCAACGGGGAGCGAGCGAGACGGCGAAAGCTTTGTAGCATGCTCGCACGTCGTCCACGTTCGTAAATGCCGTGTGCAGTCTCTCCCGTACGGGCGTACGTAATGAGAAGAGCCGATTGTCGTCCTCGACGTGAACGACAGGATACCATTAGCACGCTCGCAATACGACGTACCCGCCGAGATTCAAGGATCGAACGTCGCGTCGGGCCGGTGAGACGACCTTCGCGAGAACGTAGCGAACGAAGGTAAATAGGGGGAGAGAACTTTTGCGGTTTCTCTGCCGATTCTCGGAGCCGCGTGCATTCGACACGTCGCGGTCGGAGAGTCGGACGATTCTTTTAATGAGCCAATTTTTTTACATAACATGAGAGGAAGTTACAACGCTTGTGCGTACGTCAGATTCGCGACGATTGTGTATGCTGAGAGTTATCTCTCTCTCTTTTTTTTTTATTAACTTACAGCGTGTTGATATATTTGTGTAACGCCATTAACAATTACAGAGAGTGTCCGAATAGTCGCGCCACTCGCAACGAAATCACGCTCGTCATTTTAATGCGCTGCGTTTAATTATCAATATTGCAAGTTTCAACATTGCACGGAGTTGCGCCCCATTAACATAAATATTAACGCTTCGCATTTGGCTAACAAACCAGCAACGTCATCATGAATATATGTATATATATATTTTTTTGTTCGAAAGACTCTCGAGAAATTTGCATAATTGACAAGCTCTTTACTTAACATTACATTCGCGTAAAACGCATTTCTTTATCATGCGGCGCTATTGCTGTCTTTAAAGTGTTAATATTTAGGGAGCTTCGCGCGTGACTTTTCGAACAACTCGCAAAACAAAATGAACGCCACAGTGCTGCACATGCACAATACACATGGACATGCATCCTCGGTGTACAATTAAATTTTTTTTGGGGGGGGGCGGGGAGGAGGGGAGAGTGTATCGTAGATTATGTTATTTCATAAGTGACAACAATAAATAGTGTTTATACATAAATTGAGTGCAGAGGAACGAACGAGATACCGCGTGATGGAAGATAACGTTTACTCTCTCCCTTTTCTACTCGTTCCGTTACCCTCGACGACTCTTTGGGCTGTCTTACATGCAGAGACTGGTCACGTAAAGGCTCGCCGGCTCGTATTCCACCACCGATCCCTTTCAACCCGCTTCTCTCTATTCGTTTCTCTTAATTTTTGGGGGGGAGGAGGTGCACCGGGATTTCTTTTGATTCTCAGAAGCTGGCGTACGAATTACCTGCGCTGGGTGGCACGAATCCGTATCCGCTCGCGCCCACGATGACGCCGCTGGTGTCAGCCGAGTTGGGTGGCGGCCCAGGTGGGAATAGCACCGGACCTACGAAAGGAGAAACGCACGTTAAAGCGGGCATCCGTGCAATCGCGGCTTTAAAGGGTGCGATTGTTCTCACGATTGTTCGTCCCGACGCGAAAGGTGCAAACTTCGTTTTATTCTTACATTTGCAGCCGGTGAATACGGCTAAAATGTTTAAGCTAGCGCCACACTAGGCGCGATTCGTGATTCGTATATTCGTGATTCGTGCACGGAGAGACCGATATGGTTACCACATGTCTAATTCCCAGTGAGAAATGATTCGCCGATCGACGTCGAAATGATGTCGAATCGACGTCAATTCGACGGTGTCGATGTCGATTCGACGTCGTTTCGACCATGGTGGAAGTATACAAGGTGAACCATTGCGCATGAAGAGAGGGGGTAGCCTTCCTTCCGGCCAATAAGCGGCGTGCTTTTTTGTGTGGCGGCAGTTTGAACGGTCAAACAAATCATAACCTAATCTATAAGCAAAAAAGCACGGCTCTTATTGGATGGATCGTCCCCACTACTTTTAGGCTACTGCGCATCCACGGGAATGGTTCACCTTGTATACTTCCACCATGGTTTCGACGTCGATCGACGAATCATTTCTCACTGGGTTAGGGTTGGCACAACCCCAATAAATAGCAATCATTGGGACAGCTATTCTGTGCTTGTCATACGCTGTAAAAAGGTATGTAAAATTACACACATAATAAGTGTAGCGATTACACCATTGATAACGGAAATGTATGAATTTATGTACTTTTACAAAAAAATTTTTGTTACTCTTTGTCGTGTAAATGCTTGTTCATACATGATGAAAAATTACAAAAAATTGTAAAATTTACACAATTAAAAGCAAGCAGTTTACTTGTTACATAAGGTAATAATTTTATCTACGAGGTGTAAATTCACTGACGTATGTAAATATACACCTTCAGTAGATGGTCCCAGTATTACCCACTATAATAATTGTAATTTTACATGTAATTTTTTTACAGTGTACCCACATTGGTATGATAAATAGTGGAGATAACTATATGCGTTTTGTGCAACAAACTTAGTTGCAACACAAAACAGTGTAGCTGCCCCTACTATTTATACGGCAACATTTTCATTTTAGTTATTTTTGCCTTAGCCGGTCTTTCCGTGTGCCTTTGCCTTAGCGGTTTCTTGACGAAAATAGTGATTTCTCGACTAGTATTGAGACCTGACTAATTGTAGACTTATGATACAAGTCCTGCAATGACAGGTAAAAGTTTTAAGTTGTCCAAGTTAACGCGAACGAAACGACAAATAATAAATTACGAATGATAAATTACGAATCACGAAGAGTGCGGTAAGTAATAACGAATGTCCAACGAATTTCTGCGAATCACGAATGGCGCATTGTGAATCACGCATAGTGGGGCGCTAGCTTTAGAGCCATTAGCAATCTCGAATCACGTAAGGGCCTGAATGGCTGTCTTGCACTCTTAAAACATAAGACAGTTATTGTGCGTTACCTTAAGACAAAGGCTTAAAACATAAAACATTGAATTTTTTTAACTTCTTGTAACTCACTTATGCATCAACCCTTTATTAGAACTGCTTGTAATTTCTTTGTTAGATCACTTGAATAGGACCAGAAACCATGGTCGAAACGTTGTGAGTTTTAACATAAAAATTTGCCAGACATGGTCAAGTAATATTCTAAAGTTACTAATACATTGTCTTAAGGCTGTCTTAAGAGTATAAGACTGCCATTCTGCTCAGACCCTAAGAGGAAGAGCATCCTGGGGATAATCTACGCGGAAAGATTTGAGCCATTGTTTTGATAATACCATCAATCAGCGATTTATAACCGTGGAATGGCGTACTTGTTAATGTTCTCTAGTGAATCTATTGACCTCCAGTGATTTATATCGAGTTACGCTTAATACAGTGGTACAAGATCGTTATCGACATCGTTTGACGAGATTGAATCGAGCTGATTGGATGCTCGCATCAGTTACAAAGATCATTATTGGCTTTCATGGTCATTGGCGAAGCAACGATGCGCGGTTGATCGCGCATAGTAAACAGAATCATAAAACGTAACGTTGAAGAGTAAAGGATTAATTTTGTAAAAGAGCAGACGGGTTTCGTTCCATGTTAGAGAAAATAAATATTTTTTTAATAACTTCTACCGCACTTCTATTACTTTTCGTAGATTATTAAAGTGAACGGCGAGCATATGAGACATTTATGCTCGCGTAATTGCAAGCGATTATTGCATCAACGTATACGTTATATCGAGTTAATTACGCGCTCCTTTTTATGTTTATTTAATTATCTCCGAGTGATCGCTAATGGAGGAGTAAATAGTGATTTTATCGAAACATCTGAAATTTAATAGAAGCTCGAATAAGAGCAAAAGCTTGTAAACAAAAATTACCTCCACATTGTGTTCATTTATCGCGCACATTATGTTATTTAACAAACCGCGGCTGCTAATAGCAGCACAGTGTTACGTGACATTAAAGGAAAGTTGCACTTATCTACGAAGGAGTAGTGGAAATCCTTTCTAACACGAGGAAGTTGTTTATGTGCCCGTATTATTAATCGATCTACTGACACGATATTATATGGACTCAGATACTATCGGATCTGGTGAGATAATTATCTTGACGATCGTAGTATTCGTACAACAAACGCCAGTTTCGCCTGGTAGTCGTCTCCTGTTATTCGCAATAAAGTAGTAACGGAGTACACGAAGGCGAGCGCGCCTCCAGTGAGTAATCGCTATGAATATTCAGCGGCAGAAAAAGGAACGATTTGTTTGACCGACGTAGGCTTCCGATGTTATCCCGATAATGACTTTCTAAGCGGTAGTCTCGACACAATGAGAATTGTGGAAGCGGAAGATAAATTGGCAACGTTAATCGTTCGACGTCGCAATACGAATTGTTTCAAAATCTTATCGCGAAAAGCGTATACTTAATGAACGAGACAAATAAAAGATACGCATCACAAAACGGATAATAAGTACGTTCTCGTAGATTTCCTATCGCGCGTAACTGGAACAGTCAGTTTTTGCCGTTGTCAAATTAAAGTGTGATTTATTTCGCTACCTGCTCCAGAATTCCGTTAGACGCACGATATATGACGCATTATTTATTGTACGTGAATTTGAACTTGACACTCATTTCAATGCCGATTATTATGCGCATACTAACGCTCGAACAGGTTGCAAGGATCGCGTGTCCTGTCCGTGCAAGCCATTTAAATAACGCAGTTGGAGCAGCCTTAGAAGCAACGGCATTGTATTGTAACATCCTGGACAGTTCAACTCTTTCACGTTTGCGATTGTAATACGAATAGTTTTCAACCTCGACACAATCACATTCCGAAGAATTGTTCTTAACTTAAAAATTGTAGAAACTCTTATAAAACTATTACGACGTTAAAAATGTACGACTGGAAGGCACGCGCTGACGAACGCGCGATAGGTTCGGTACCGTAATTCACCAAGTTCGCGGTATAAAAGCAAACGGCTCGCCTTTCCTTCCGTTACGCGCGCACGTGTTGAAGCATATCCCTAGTTAGCCCCGTTGTTCCGGTAAAAGTTCTGTGCTATCTACGCAAGACAGATACTGCATCAATAACAAGACATTACCTACGCGATTCAGGCGCTCGTTCCTCTCGATCGCAATCAGTTGTTTGATTATACGACAGCGCACTTCAAAGAGCATTCCTTTTATATCTCGGATCTTTACGGCTGAGCGGGCACAGACCGTCATAAAAACGATTGTTGTATTGTCAATCATGCACGGTACGTTATATAAATAAACGCGGCGCGGATAATGGGCCGCGGCTATTAATCTTCTAAAATAATTCTGTAGAACACGTTTGTTCCCGTCTGCTGAATTTCAAAACGGAAAACTGCTGCGAATGTTTGGTTTATCGTAAAATTGTACTCTTCCCTGCCGTATTGACGTTTACACGGCAATACGTGGAACAATAATTGTCGCAATTACACCGTGTTACATCTCTCAATAATATCGTATAAGCGAGACTTCGTTTCCGAGAAGTCTATCACGTTGAGGAAGAACTTTCGAACGATTGAGGAATTCTAGCGAGCGGCATTAGAATGCCTAGCATTATTCGCGGACGAAACGAGGCCGTTTCTTCGCGGCGTATGCAAACGGAAGAAAACATAAGGACAAATTATCGTAATTGCATGATTCCTCAGCTTCCTGATAACGTGGAGGATACACATGTAAGCGCGAGCAAACACTTCCGAAGCGTACCGTAAATCTCAATCAACGAGTGCTTGGAGTAATAATAATAGCGTACGAGCAAAAAAAGGAAAGCGTAATTGTTTTAGTAGCGAGCGATCGGGCGAAGTAATAATGCACCGACAAATCATGTTCGGATTATGCAAATTCAAGTAGCCGTAAGAATGCAAAGGTCGTCGCAGAAAAAACTTTTCAAGCGACGCCAGGAATCCACACTCGATCAATTTTACAATGTTTTAAAACGTTCTTGCGCACATCAACGATGCGACATCCGGCTATACTTTCTAAAAGTATACCCGAGTCGAATATTTTGGCGTCAGTTTAGTCTCGCATAATTTTTTAATTGGGAGCCTTGAACTGGATAAGAATTGTCCTCTTCCAGAAATTTGCGCTTGAAAAGGACCGAAACGTCGCGCATTGTACAATTATATAGTTAGCAGTTATTAAACATTTGCCAGTTAAGGTCGCTCAAACTTTACATTCTTGAACTGGAGTTGAAACCGAGAATAATCGAGGCCCATTCCGGGACCAATCACTCGGGTAAATATTACTGTACATTAATTATCCATTAATCCTAGTGTAAATTGAAGCTTCAGTCGAATAAGCTCTTTGTCTTTTAACGATACTATTATGTAATCTCGGCGTTTGTGCGAAATAACTTACCCCTGTTCGATCTTGGATCCCTCATTACTGAGCTCCTACTTCCCTGGAGGCCGAAAGGACCAAATCCCGCGAAGAAATGCCTGAAATCCTGCGCCGAGACGGCCGCCAGTACGGCGATGACAAATACGACTAGAACAACCTGCAATTAAGAATTCGTAAATTTGCAACTCTTACAGAAAAGTGATAAAATTCGTGTGGCTCAAATGTGATAGACACAAACTTGAAGAGGAATAAGGGACTGCGAACTCTTGGAAAAGAATTTTGTGACGTTCTAAGTTGAACAAACGACCGACATGTATTTCTTGACAAACCTAGCCTCTTCTCTCTGCACTTTGCACAAAATTAAAGGAGTTTCGTAAATGAGATAGCAAATCTATAATGACAATAGAAAAATTTTATGTGAAAATCTCCAAGAGTGATACAAGAACGTCTCACATTTTATTTCTACATTGTACAGGATTATGAAAATTGTTGTGCAAAAGAAGCATAACGTAAGAGGAAAAGTAGCCTCAGCTCGGATTGTTTAATCTTATATTTTTAAACTGCATTGCGAAATTGTGCAGCAACCGCTTCTCTCGTGAATCGCAAGTGAGACACGATACCACACTTAACTAAGAGAGAATCTTTCCCAATGAGCATTCACACGTCCAGCATATTGCAGTAATTTACATAGATACGGAGAGACAGGCATTAAGGAGTCGAGTACAATTATTTTTCTCGTTCCACGTAAACCGTTGTATAAAACGGTGGCGAATTATAATAAAATAAGAGAGTGCTCTCGCGTGGCGTTTAATCAGTCGTGTTCCCTCACGAAGCAACAGCTGCTTGACGAAACTTGCTTCTCGTAGCGCAACGAGCGACCGAGTCGTCGCGAGATCAACTTGGACCGTTACGACTGTCCGAAAAATGGCGTCCGTTATTACGATAATTATCGGTATATCCTGTGCCGAAGTGAAGTCGGCGTCGATCTGGCCTGTCAGGTGCAAAGTAACGACACTGCCCGCATAACGACGCTAAGTATAGGCTTTAAATTATCGAGATAGGTTTAAGAGCGAGCAGAACGCTAGACGCACGGCCATACGTCCCCCGTTGGAAATTGCGCGCTGTAAAACCTCGGAATTATATCCCTTTGCCTGACTGTACGCTCTCTGTGATCTGTGAAGTTATATCGTCCGTGACGAAGGTGCGTGACAATTTTTACGGCTGATCGCTCGCCGCGCGCGTTTCCAATGTACAATTTCCACCGCAAGCCGCAGAAATTTACGACCCCGCGACACACTTCTACAAACAAGTAAATGTGCCGCTTAACGTTTTCATTTCGTCGGAAACGGCCTGGCGCGCGTTCGCCGATGGATTTTCACAAAAATTGCTGGATCCGTTGCGACATAAAAAAAAATGTATTTCTCTTGGGCGTGAATTTATTTCTTTCAGCAACTGAACCGAGAAGCAGAAAGGGGGATACACGTGACATTTTGGCCGAAATGGCGTTAACGATCGATCCTTGCTGTCCATAAAAATTCTTTTATGAAAACGTTAGGGCGCCCCCTCTTTCAGTAGCGTGAAATCTATCAAAAAATTCATATTACGCTTGTAAAACGGGTTTTCTATTTTTTTTTCCTGAAATATTGGTAAATCTCTCACTGTGCTAACCGGTTCAATTTGACTTTTACGCTCACCGGCAGCGGCCTTTGTTTCGGTCCCGATTTTCCATCAATTCCCGACTTGTCGGCTGCATCGCGTGTTCAATCTTTCGCACCAATCTATCGCGCTCCGCGATGTCGTAAGGCAAACACTGTCACAATCAAATTAACGTAGAGAACCGCGAGGATTCCCGTCGGCTTAGGATGACGCAAACCACCGTGCGTTCGCTTCGAAAATCCGTTATCGCGCCACGAATTTTATGTAGCTCTTACGCAAACGCGAGAAAGGTGGAGCAACGAGGGGGAGGAGGGGGGGGGGGAAGAGGGGGCGAGGAATCGAATCGCCGGGTCTCAATTTCTTTCCTTTCCGAGATATCGTTCCCTTACGTAAAGCCCCCTGATGAAATCATTACGGAGCCGATTTACGGCCGATGCCTCTCTCAACGAGGCGCCGGACGCGCGCCGGGAAGAAGCTCGTCGAAGGACACCGCTATTCGATCGGCAATTACGGGGGCCCGGGCTCTCTCGACGTAATCGCACGGATAAAGGTTGCCACGATTGTCGGCACGATCGGTGGCGACACCGAGTTCGTTCGCCGCGATTCGCTCGCTCGCGAGATTTCCGTATCAAAGGCAAGGTGAGCCGCTGCCACGGCCGCTTTCCGTTCGAGCCTCTTTTCGAGCGCGCGGTTTTCCGTCGCGCCGCGTGCAATGTCAAGGCGAATCGGCAGGTGGTTTGCCTTAAAATCGAGCACCGCGCGCGCGCGCAGTCTCTCGGTACTTGGACACTCCAACTGCACGTTGATCCTCTTCTAAGGGGATAATGGCGCCGGTCTTGCTGCCGAGTCTAAATGGGCCATGGCTAACCGATAAGTTGGTCGAAGACTCGCACGTTGATGATGCGAAAATACGCCAGGGGCTCGATTCTTGAAATCGTCCGCTGGAGAAACGTGTGCGAAAATTCCGCTCTGGCAGAAAAGTCGAGAGAGTCGATTGGTTAAGAGCCCATGCTAATGTCCTTGCAACTTTTCTGCTTGAGCAGAGTATTCGCGTACGTTTCTTCCTCGTATGAATTGAAGAATCGAGCCCCAGGTCTGTTTCGCAGACCTAACGCTCGGAACGGGAATTCCGAGGCCGATTTCTGCAGCGTGCGGTATCGCCCGCGGATCGCCATGGATTCCCGGACTTCGGTCGCGACGGTATCTTTTCACGACAGCGCTCGATAGCCGTTATGGTAGATAATTAATAGCCGGACAAATTAACGTTGCGGCCAACGATTTATTAACTATTATATCTGTTAATATATGCAGATATGGATCGTTTCAACGGTCGACATTTCGACATATAATTCCGGACGGCCGGATTATCATCTTACGCGCGTAATGCAATAACGCGTTGCCGTTAACGAAGCGTAATTGATGGACCGAAAGCCGCGCGATGATGCAACGAAGCGAACGTTTATTCGGCGAAATACGGAATAACGATCGTATCGCCAAGAGTGAACACAAGTGCGGGAAGACAGGCTAATGGCGTAGGCTCGGTCGCGGGACGGCGGATTGACAGCACTTTTAATTAATAACGTCCATTAAAGAGGGGGGGGTAAACGCGCGGGCTGCTATTTACGACTTTTCCACAGTCGCACGCTTTCTTGTTTCTGATTCTTATCGGGCGCGATCGCGTGCCTCCGGCATAATTCACTTTGTTAATTAGCCATCCAATAAACAACCATCGACCCAGTCACGCAGAAGTCGTGCCGATAAATACAAATTGACAGAGCGCGCTAGAACTAAACGCAAGTGCGATTGGAATACGCAAGATAAATTTGAAATGAGCGGCAATGTTTCAAACGGGTGTTCGACAAGAGGAAAAATTGTACATGAAAAAGCACGTGTAAATTCCAAGACCCGTTGTCCATTTTAAGCCAAGTAATAATAGAAGGGGCTCGGAGTCTAGACAGGGTTGTAGTGTCGAAAACTTTAATTAACTTGGACGATAAATAGACGTTTCGGTCCTAACCATTTTCAGTGTATAAAAAGACATAAATTGACACATGAGAGATAACCGTAAATAAATGACACAAGAAGCTACGCAGTCGAGATAAAATATTAAAAATACATGAAACGCGACGCAAACGTGCGGAACGTACGTTTTAAAGAAAGCTGTACGGTGACGATGAAAATTACAATGAAAATTGTCCATTTGAATTTCTCGAGTCTTTTTATCTTGTCAGATACTAAACGGCGCACGTGTGGAAAAGAATCGCGTGTCAGATACGCGGCAATTCATCGCGAAATCAATTTTTGTCGAGCGCTTCTATTGAATTGTTTTGCTTCCGATGGCTAGAATTGGAAAAGGATTAAAAGCAATCGCGGAAGAGCTTCGCCATTTATTTATAGACCGTATTAAAGGCCAGCCGCAAATCGGCTTTACGCTCAATTTTACACGAGGGCGAAATGACAGTGCGACAATTCGTAGGATTACATTAACTTGTTTTTTTTTCCTCCGAAGAAACACAATACAATTTTAGCGATTGTATCTTTCTCGGAAATTTTTCGTGTCCCCTACGTTGTCACGCGATAATCAAATTAGAGACGCGGTGATCTCGAGGCGCGTAGCACACAGGGAAGAAATCGGCCGCGCGCAATTACGAGCGATCTTATTTCAGCGCTCGCGCCGCAACACCACGGCGAGTCCCATCTCTTATACTCGCGCGGCGTGAAGGCAAGGTGAAGGCGAAGCCGAGTCCTATCGGGATGCCAGCCTCCGCGATCTCCCCGCGACGGCGGAGATGACGGGGCGTCCGAACCTTCGGTACGGAAGATCAGACTCGCGATTACGACGCAATGGCCAGTCGAGCGGAAATTGTGATGACAATGCGAATATCGGGGAGAGACGCGGGCGCGAGGCGAAGGAAGTAATTTCGAGAGAACCGTCGCTCTCGCTGTTATTCACCGTCGGTGGCATCGCGCCGCCTTCGTTTCCACGAGGTCGCCTACAAAGTGCGGCACACATGTGCGTAAGACCGTGACGCGAGATCACGCCGGCCAGATATCTCCGTCCGCGAACGCGCGGACCATCGCGAGAGAGGGGGGGGGGAGAGAAAAAAAGAGCCGTCGACGTAACGACACGTGTCTGTGGAAAAGATGGAAAGAAAAAATGAGCGCGCGGCGCTATTTCGCGCCGGCGAATCGCTTTACGGTCGCGGGGCGATATCGATCGATCGATCGAACGGCACGGTCCGCGCGGAGGTTGCGTTTGTTATTCGCGCGGGAGAGAAAACGAGGAATGCGGGCGCAGTTTCATTACGCGGGCGGTATTTCATTCCGCTGTTTTGTCTCCGCGAACTCGGCGACCCGTTCGGACGGCGAAACGACGCCGTTGAATATTCATCATCCGCGATGTATAATAACTCACGGCGCGTCTCGTCGCCGATATTTATACGATTAGAAACGGCTTTTCGAGGGATATTGGAACCGCGGACGCGTCGCAGACGCGACACG